TACCCGGTTACAAAAGTCAAATGGTCAACCCCTTTAGGGGGTGGGGGAAGAAACAGATTTGACATCTTAGTGTTAAATGACATCCATCAACGAGATTGGCTGGCGCGCGTTCATCATGTGGTGGTTTTCTAGACCAAAGTTTTGCATTTCAAGATTGAAAAAACGCCAAAAAAAGACACAAAATGGGAAGAGAAAGTTCCAAAGAATGCCCAGTTTCCTTTTTGTGGACAAACGAAAGCCTTTCGTTATGAAATTGTCTTTCGAGGAATTCAACCTTGTTTTCTTCACGGCGGAGCGCTTGGCTTGCTTTGAACCAAATTAACCATTAGGCAGTGAGGTTTTTGAAGAAACGTCAGGTACATTCTGTACTATATGGTCTAGGAAATTATATTTTTAAAAGGGAATTTTTGTATTTCTAACGGTTTCATGGTGAACGTTTTCTACATTTTGACGTGAATGAAAAACCACAAAATGTGCCCCGATTTGAAATTGATTTTATGTCGAATTTTGCCATGTGGCCAGCCGATTTTATTTTCGTGAACGGATCCACGATACAGTGAGTGTTACGCAAAGTGCTTTTAAGGATTAACTTATGGGTTTTTGAATAAAACTTTTCAAGAGTTAACGTTATTTTTCTGTCATTGTTCATTCATAAAATCAGCTCAAAACACGACCATGGGACTACAGATCGTGTGAGACAGTAGAGACAGTTCAGATGGGCTACTGCCCTTTCTTGAATTGAAACTGAAGTGTTGTTTTTGTACATGTTCCATTGAATTGCTATTCATTTTCTTAATCATTGCTCACCATTAAAGAATTTTGCAGTGTACTGCTCTTTTGCCATAACTCGTGTCCTGAATACCGCTTCAATGAAGCTTATTGCGTTTGTTTTCACTTGTTTGTTCGCAGCTTTCTTATCTCGCTGAAAAAATGTTAAAACTTATCTAAAGCATGAAAGACTTCTCATTTCTTCTACCAACAGACCCGTCGGATTTTCGAGCCCTGCGGTGGGGAGGGCGGGGGGGTGAGCTGACAAATAGTAACGTGACTACCAAGACTTCTCGAAAGGATGGTTAACCAAACTTTCTTAGCTAATTGGGGCTACGCTCGTACACGCTTCGCGTGGGCGTGAAGTACCGCTATTATTATTATTATTATTATTATTATTATTATTATTATTATTATTATTATTATCTCTGCATAATGGAATTCTTTATTTTATAGAATTTATTTTATAGAATTTTGAACTTTTATTATTAATTATATCTATTTCCTCTTCTTTTATGTAAGGTTAAGTTACTTCTATTTTTTAGAATTTGTAAATGAATAGTTTCTTTCTTCACTTATTATATATAGGATTGTTTTTGTTCTCTAATGAAGGCCGAGGGGTTTCTTTTGTAACGGATGGAATTGTAGATAGTGTTTTGATGAATTAATTAGATTTTTTGTAACAGCAGGTTGATTGTAAATAGGATTTTAATTGAGGTTTTGTAATAAAGATTTTAATAATAATAATTATTATTATTATTATTATTTTTATTTTTATTATTATTATTATTATTATTATTATATTTTTTTTTTGCACAGTCTCAACACGAAGCATGCTGGCAGAAGCAGAGAAGAGTGTAAATTGGAAATCATCAGCATCAGCATCAGTATCTTCCAATACAGGCGGTACGAACGGGGAGGAGAAGGTATATTAGGCAAAGTAACCTTTTAAATAGCCTTCTTTGGCTGCTGTGGTGCGAGCCCAGTTCAAAACCAATAAAACTGATCTTTTATATGATTATGTAAATTTAGTGAAGGTTAAAAAAAAAAGCTACTTCACTTCTTACTCCTTTGAAGAAACGACTATAAACCGTTTAAAAAGTGTTTTATTCAACAGAGCATCGAATAAATGGAAAGTGATAAGTGTGGATAATGTTAAAGTCGTAAATGATCCATGTGTGACTTTCTTACTTCCAAACTAATAACACTAACTTTGTATTAGGTGCATCAATACAAATCGGACATGAATGCAATAGACATCAACAGAACAGATTCGATAAAGGTGAAACATTACTTATTGTTATCACTAGTTTGCAAAATGTAACACTAACTGTTGAGGCTAGGGTACATACGAATAGTAAAATTCGCCTTTTGGTGGACTTGAAGGTATTATCCCGTAGTTATTTTTTGGAAATATTTGCTGCTACTTTTGAACAAATTCTCTCTTCTCATATATATCTTTTTAAATTGTATTTTTGCCTAGAAAGAAAGCACCTTTTTTTTTCTCTGGGATTTGTATCCTCAAAGTCATAATGCATATCAGAATCACTAGATATCCCATGACACTTTCAACAATGCATACAACCTTTCATAAAGTTTGTTACTCCTCCAGTTCCAGGTAGAACCCAATAACCGAAGCATATTTAACATAAGATACGTCTCTGTCATGTATTTGAAAATTTTCGACATCAATTTTCGGCGAAAAAACAGTACCATAAAGATAGACGGCAGCTGAGAACACCAGCAATGTCATTGACCGTGCACAACACTATCAGCGCTGCACAACTAAATATTTATGCAAATCAAAATTGGGAAAGACAAGCGATATCAGGGTGCTTCTTTAGGTTTTTCGGAGTCACAAAACTTACTTTGAATAGAAACGCCAACTCACGGGCTTCTTATGGCATTTTGCCTGTTTTTATTAACAACAGTTGTGTTCGAAACCTCTTTTTTGTACTTTTTTAGGACGCAATGAACATCACCCGCTCTTTTTTGAACGCTTTAAAGGCAGGACAGGATGAAAACAATACCATAAACATACTGGCAGCATTACAAGCATTGGAATCATTTTCAATAAACTACGGGAGAATTCATTATAATCCGAACGAAAGCAAGGTCATCCCTCACGAATTGTTTGGTAAGTATCTTATCCGAATAATCGGACTCAATCGCCCCATGAAAGGGAATCCGGTTTCTGGAATCCAGGAAATTTTTGCATGTGGAATCTGGAATCCTGAAAAATCATGTTTGTGAAATATGGAATCCTGGGATTTGGAATCCGGATTGAAGCGCATGGAATCCGGAAACCCACTAACGATTGGAATCCAGAATCCAAGTTACAATAAAAATAAGTGGAATCCAGTATCTGGAATCCGGAATCCACGGCGTGAAATCCATGTACCAAGACTGACTTGGATTTCCTTATGTGGGGAGGAAATAAATTATTATTTTGTCATTTGTCTTTTAAACCCGCACATGCAGGTGAATAATTTTGGCTTCGTAAAATTATTCGGGTTAAAAATGGAATACTTTCAAATTTGTTACTTCTGACTTATCATTTTCTTTGAACCTGTCTACATGCGCTAAGCGAACCCGATATTAAGCTGCCTACCTTGTGTTAAGATGATACTGGTATTAGTGAGTTCCAAACTTCCCGACGCTCACCATACTTTCAGTAAAACGAATCTGTATTCGGCGGGACGGTGGACACCTCTTCCATAAGGATTCCATATAGCAGACAAAAGCTTCGCCAAGTATTAAATGCCCGCTTACAAAGACAAAGAACTTTAAAGTAATAATTTTTAACAGTGAGTCAGTATGAAGAATTATTGCAACGAAGAGATGTGATTTTAAAGGGGAGCTCTCGCGAGGAAATTGCGCGCATCGGAGCACCATACTTGGGTAAGAAATTTTGGTTCTGACAAAATCGTCCGTACGTAGTCCACCCCCTCACGTTAGCAGATGTGAAATGGTACACTTACTAGCTAGAAGTACAAGGCATATACTTTTTGTGCTTTAAAAACCTGGTATTGGACATCGATTGACCGCTGACCAGTGTCTCATGAATGTATCACGGGCTCAGGTATGCAACTCATTAAAGTAAAGTATTTTTCAAAGTTGTCCGCTGACCAGTTTTTGTTTTTTATTTGATCGTGAGCTCAGGGCCAATTTTAAAGGTTGAATTCAGTATGAATTCTGCTTACGGCAAAAGTTTAAGTACTTGAGAGAAACATTTCTTAAAATACCCTCGCGAGCTTCGCTTTTGGCCTTGGCTAAATCTGCATATTACTACTGTATTGATATGTACAGCAATCAAGATCCAGAAAATATCAGCAAAAAACAGGAAAGCTGTCACCTTTACGGTGAATGAAACAGGTTTTTCAGGAGGAAGCGACAGAACCAGGATTTCCATTCCTTCAGTAATATTTCAAACGCCAGGTACGCTAAAACTGATAGATTGAGCATTAATTCTCTGTAATACTTAAAGCGAAATGATGTAACTTAGTCCTTTGGGGCAGTGGTAGTTTACACTGGAAACAGAAAAAAAAACTGAATGCAAAACAATAGAAATGCACATAGTGACATCTCGACCGTCATACTTGAGCACCTAAAAAATCCAGGAGATATTTTCGTTGTGGTGGCAGGGGTTTGGGAAAAATTTTCCATTAAACCCTGTGCCCTAATTAAAATTTACCTCAATGTAGAATTAGTTTTACTTTTAGTTTTACCAATGTACGAACGTTAGGGTTCCAGACGGTTCCCTGCGTGAGCTGGAATAGCCTTTTGTTGAGGGCTGTTTTGGCTTAAAATGTGCTCAAATGGCTCCAAGAGGGGCTGAACGAGACTTTTGCCTGCAGGGCTGAGTTGGCACTTTGGGGCTGAAACAGATCTTTTTAATGTTCAGTGTATCCAAATCAAAGTTTCTCTGCTCTTCAATGACTGCGGTAGGTATGAGACGTTAATTGATCATCTATAATCGTTGAATACTGTGCACTTGTGAGATCAGTTACTAAAATTCCTAAAACGTTATTAAAAGTGAATGAATTCGTAATCACCGCACTGGTGAAGCTGTATATCCCCGTCCCCCCTACAAAAATTATAAACACGGCGCCTGTATAAATTAGTCGTAAAAAAAGTCTTAATGGAAAGCAACGGGTGCGCACATTGAAGAAACCACCAGAATGTTATCTCTTTTTTAATTTTCTTTCGATAATTTAGCAGTTTATCTTCTAGACACTATTGTAGTAAGCATTATTTACAACGGCATCAAGCAATGGATACCTAATGAAGGAAACGTCGAACTGAACGGGTAAGCAACTAAAAGGGAAATAAGGCCTCACATGTTGACCATGTTTTTTTATCGCCAACTATTTCTGACCATAAAAGACACGATGTCTCTGACTGTAATGTGTTATACGCTTTAAACCATGATCCGTTGCCTCAGCTAAAAATGAAAGATAAAATATCATGTATTATTGCAGAATATTTTGTAGAAAACGTCACTGAATCTGTCGATTACATGCTATACCTAGTGAAATCTGCTATAATCGTTTCGCCCTTGATCATATGACTCCAAAGTGATGAATTAAAAATAACAATTGCCTTGCAACCAATTTGATTTTTTTAACATAATGGATGTTTAAGACTGGTTCACTTTATCAATTTAAACCTATTTCACTGTTTCTATTTCTCATTTAAGGAAAACCTTTGCGAATCTTGCAATAGGAAGCAGGGTAATATCTAGTACAGTACACCCCACGCCAATCGGTACCTTCAAAGAAAACGTCACGCTTGTATTCAGCTCTGAGAAGGTGAGTTCCGTATTTTTTTTTCTTCTTCTTCTTTTTTTTATTATCCGTTGAGAATTCAACTATTAAAGAATATTATCTTTTTCCCTCTGTTTGTCTGTTTGTGCAGTACGTTGTGTGTGTGTGTGTGTGTGTGTGTGTGTGTGTGTGTGGGGGTTGAGTTGCTTTTATTGTTTTGTTGTTGTGTTTTCCAATCACTATTGTTGACTCTTGTAACAATTTGTTTTGAAATTTTAAGGACATGAAAGGAAAGGTTATTCCACGTTGTGTCTTTTGGGATTTTAAGGCGAGGTAAGTCTAAACACTTTAAGTAATTTTTAAGGAAAACTGCTGATTAGTCTTTTGGCAGAAACTGTTGTGGTCATTCTATTTCTGATTACCGCTGTCGTTGTCAATGTTATTTCTGAAGATCCAAGGTTCACGGGTCTTGGTCTAGCACAGGATGTTCGTTTGTAAAAGAACTCAATAAGGAAATCACCTGCACATGTAATCATCTCACAAACTTTGCCATTCTTATGCAAGTTGCGGGGAATAATGAGGTAAGTTGGTTCGGAACGTTACTTGTTACCAACATAGACAAGTCTTTGTTTGCATTTCTTGTCTTATTAACATATGCTCATCATTATATGATGAAGCTAATAGAATAAAACCTCTGAGGAATATTGAAAGAGCATTTACAGTTTCAGTTATCTCTGAAATTTAAACCCGATATACCGAATGGTTTCGTTTAAATTCTCTTTTTAAAACTCAAAATTTTACAAAGAATGTATGACTCGTTCACTTTTTTTCCACCCAGCAAATTCGCAGTTTTCGATGGTCGATATTCCCTTCAATATTGCTTGTAGAGAGCTGAATTTGCACAAATTGCTCAAGTAAATTAGCTCTTGCAACTTTTGAATTTAGTTCGTACACGTATGTACTGCCACGGCTTCTATGTCGTATGCTAATGAGGAAAAACGTAAACAATGACGTAAGCAAAGATTCGCCTATTGATAATGAAGAGGAGGCATCCAAACTACTATGTCTGACAGTGCACCTTTACTCCGTAAATTAATTGTATCAGGACCCCGGCATGTGGCACACTTACATATGATTTTGGCTATTGGTTTGTTACTCATTAATAAACTGTAAAGTAAAAGAGCATTACTTTTTGTCCGAGAAACTCATTAAATGAAAGCGTATTTTAAATATTTGAATTTTCCTGTGTGTACGCATCACAAATCCTTATTTCCACCAGGTTACTCCAGGCCATAAAAATGCGTTGGAAGTCATCACTTACGTTGGTTGTGCCTTGTCGCTACTGGGAGAAGCACTTACAATTGTTGCATACTGGACTCTCATGTGAGTTTTTTATTCGCATATCGTACCAAACAGTATTTTAGGGATTTTCATCAGCTAAATGACTCTCTTGAATGATCGTACAATAAAGAATGATCACTCTGTGGTGACGCCTAATCTATATGATGGTAATCACGAAGAACCTAGCATCAATAGGCGTATCTCTCTCTTGCCCCTTGTTTCGAAAGTGTGCGAAAGGGTTGCGCTTAATCAAAGCTATCTACTCGGCAAAGTGGTAATAAGAAAATTGAAAACTACGGACACCTCCTTAATACGAACAACTGGCGCTATCTTAAAGCGACTGACGAGAAGAAAATTCCCCCTGTTGTCTTACTTAATATGAGCAAGGCTCTCGATACAATTCTCTCTGAATCATGGAATTTTGCTCAATAAACTGCTGGATATTGGAATCTCTCCACATGATCAATTTTTGCTTGACAAGTGTGGGCATAAATTCTGAGTTGTCTGATCCTCTACCCGTTTTATCAGGCGTGCCACAAGGAAGTATTCTTGGTCCCCTTAAATTACTCCCTTGAATGATAGTAGGTAAGAATTTCCATTCGAAAGGAAAACCTTTTAACGCAAAGTTATACTTCTCAATCGTAGGAGTCTAAAGGAAGAACAAATTAAGATTCGTCTCAACCTTGTTGTTGCCATAGCAATCGCCCAAATTACCTTTCTTGCTGGAATTGATGCCTCAGAAACAAAGGTAAGCTTGATTCAGACTCCCACATATGTTGCTAAAGTAAACTTTTTTTTTATGTTTGACCTCGATTTTGTCTTGAATTTCCCCAGGGACTTTGCGTTTTTGTCGCCGGCTTGATCCATTATTTCTACCTAGTAGGATTTGCTTGGATGTTATTTGAGGGTGTTTACCTGTATCTGATGGTGGTCAAAGTGTTCAACACAGTGGTCAGGATGCGCTTGTTCTATGGAGTGGCTTGGGGTAAGAACTTGAGGCCGATTTTATATTTTAATTGATAGGCCGATATCAGCTGGGGGGTCTTGATCGTGCCAAAATTATAGGATAGAACCCTAAAATACTAGAGATAAAAAAATGCTACTGCCGAGTCGTTTTTTTTTGTTTGTTTTTTCTTTAATATATTGTTTATTATTATTTTATTTTTTCACATTAACTGTTTTAATTTCAGATATTCAAACACCCTTAAAATGCTAGTTTTGTGTGTCAGCAACGTTCAATTGGCCTCTGCTAAGTAATTTGCTCTTATCATGCTCCTTCATCAATGATATTGTTTCAGGCTGAATCCCATATTTTCTATATTAGAAACGTCACCTGACTGCGACAGCTAGCTGCAAAGGCCACCCCTATTTTGTACTAAGCCCGGTTACAGTATAGTAGTATTCAAGAGTGGCCTTTCAGTCAGATATTCCCCCCGATAACTGAATCTCCTTTTTTATCGTGTCGCAGGCGTTTCCCTTTTAATTGTGTTGCTATCGATGCTGATTGCCTTCAATCAAGATGGTGGAATATATAGTTACGTTCATGGTGACTTGTGAGTTATCAAGAGAATTGTTTTGACAAGGAAAATTTTAGTAGCAACAAAAGTGGATATTTTGCTCAATGATCCTCTCCACGTGATTTTTATTAATATTAGCCATAACCTTGTTATGAAGAAGTAGCCTGAGGTAAAGGCCTTGCCCCAAATATATTATAGACAAGACACACTCAAAACCCCCTTAACTCAATTTATTATTATCATTATCATCATCATCATTATCATTATCATTTTTGTTTTCCAAAAAAAAAACAAAAGATATTTATAAAAAGGATGAATATTCCTCTCAAGGCAACATCAACAAGAATTTGAAATTCCAGAAAACCAGGTGCACGGCATTACGGATATATTTTACCAGTAATGTAAGCTTACAGCCTGATAGCAACCTTTTTTGGCAGTAAATCGATCTGTATTTTTGTAACCCCCTGATAATCTCTGATGACAAGCTATAACATTTACATTTCCTTGGCTTAAAACTTCCCCTTTCATCTCTAACAGCTGCTGGGTTTCGTTCACCAATAATCTCGTTTGGACCTTCGTTACACCTGTTCTTTTGGTTTGTTTGGTAAGTTTGTAAAAATTAAGAACAGCAAAGTTCTTTCAACGAAATTCCTTCTTATCTCAATAAAGGATTCATTTAATCATTAATTTATTCAAATTTAAAGTACTTGCTTTTGGCTAAATCTCCGTGAAGGATATGATATTGTCGGCTAAGAGTACTAAGCCTGAGCTTTCAATAAAACATCCATTAGGTAAATGCGGTTATCCTTGGTCGAGTGGTTAACGAAATCATTAAGATGCAGAGCGGGAAAACGTCGGAACTGGAAAGAATTCGACAAGGTGCAAAGGCCTCCGTCGTTTTGTTTCCTCTACTGGGACTGACCTGGGTGTTTGGTGTTCTAAGCGTCACAGATGCTGGACTCGTATTTCAGTACATCTTCACCATCCTCAACTCATTTCAGGTATCGCGACCTTCTAGTCACCTTATTACTTTATTTAATACAAAAATTTACTTCATAATATCTTTGTACTGTACAAAAATATGGCATATGTATAGGTAATAATACGACTTCGGGATTTATTTGCACTAGTGCAGTGACTATTCATCGGCGGGGAGACTGAGTGTGAGTATCAAAATTGCGTGAGCTCGTAGGGCACACGTAATTTTAGAACATGTGCATGTATCCTTTCTCTTTCAAATGCCTGTCCAAAGCTATCGTCATAACTTTGAGACTGTTAGGGTCGTAGTCGCCCCCTTGTTTGTCTTTATTACTTTATATGAGTCTCGGTGCAGAGGCGCTCGATCGAGCGGCTTGTTGAGGTCAGCAGGCTTGTAACTCTCAATTTGCACAGAAAAATCTTTTCTCTTTTCTATAGTTGTTCCATACATCAAGTCAATATACGGTCTTACTTCTTTATAGTGGTTTCGTTTTTGGAAGTTCTTATCAATTCTTCAATAGTATTTTTTTGTCTTGAGTCATGGTGACAAAACTAAAATCGGCTTCGGCGCCTGCCATTTTTTTTTTTTTTTTTTTTTTTAATTTTTGATTTTGCTTAGCATATATATTTTTCCCCTTTTTTGCACTTTGTTTACTGAAAACTGCATTGCTTTTATCCAATCAGAGTCAATAAATTTGTTCATGTATATTTTAATTTAAGAGGAGTAACGTTTTAATTCGTGTCATGGCTGAGTGCTCACATTTAATGGTCTTTACTGATTTTTGAAGCCTCAATCATTTACGTAGCAAGGGAAAACTTATACTGTTGACAGCCTTGTGTTTTAACTCAGTTTAAGGACGACATCAAGACGCTTTATTTTTTTCATTTTTTTGAAATTACCCGGCTCTAGCCATACATAGTAGTCAGACATGTATACAGGAGCCTATTTTAACAGGGCTATTTTGTTCTTTTACATATATCAGCGGGGAAGACTAAAGAACCGCTAATAGAAAATTCAAGTGCAGTACACTGCACTCGACAGCTTTTCATGTCAACATGAAATAAAATACTGCTTGGTGTGAACAGAAACGGTCCTGGGCCCCTGTTTCTCGTTTTTCGGGCCCAGAAAGCAGTTTTATGTTTCCGGCCGCAGTTGCATTCATAATCGAAGTTTCAATGATTTTGAAAATGATGCAATAAAGCTAAACTGACTGGTTTGTGAGCTAGGAACTGTGATACCATTCAGAAGGTTTGTTTTGAAATTTGCTTAGAGTCCGAAAAGTTAAACATGGCCTTTCGAGAAACGTGCCCCTAACTGGAACAAGACGTTCACACACATCGTGCATCACACCGGAGTGGTTCATGGCCAAGAGAGCCTGGGGGGTACTCTCCAAGGTGACGGGGCTGCTGGTCGGAAAATTTCGAGAAGAACCCTAAAAGGAACCAGAATCTTGTTTTATGGGCGCCCCCCTACCCCGTGAAAGAGAGTTTGGCACACTAGATCTAAATCCATACTCCTGAGTATTTGCTTTTCATGTCTCAGTGGTTTCCATTCTCCTTTTCTAGTCATTCGCTTTCAATACGATTCGACTATCTATTCACACTGCCACAAAGATAGGTACAGAAATCTATTCGATGTGTTTCATAGTCACAATCGTCAAAATTCGTGAGTTATGATTCTTAACCGTTATAATTAGTCAAGTTAATGTTTTCATGCGCGTTGCAATCCAGCCTTTTTCTGAATGTTGTTTCCGTTATTAGTACTCAGATCGTTATCATTATCATTATCAATCAGATCATCAGTCATGATTATTATCATTATTTTTTCAGGGTTTGTTTATTTTCATACTTCACGTTCTAAGGAATGCTGACGTGCGAGCTGCATACCTGCGGAAAAAGCAAAAGTGGAAAGCAGCGAGGAGCACTGGAACATCACACACAGCCAATCACGATTCAATCGCATTGGGGTCGAGCAAGATGAGAAATGAACCGGAAGATTCGCGAAGCAAATCCCGCTGTACATCGCCAAGATCAGAACGATCAAATTTTGGTCATGACAAACCATTTGCCATTAACCACGACAGAAACATGACACCTGTAGACACTTGAGTCTCAATTGGAAGGCTTTTCTACGGGCTGGACAAGAATGTGAAAATATCAAATTAAGTATTATTCTGAGACACTAGAACTTCCCAAGTAAAATATGTTCGTCATAACGTAGCTTCCTTACATCGAGTTTCTAGTCAATTTATATTTTTATAAGCCACTTGCCGTGGGCACCCAACGACGGTTTCCCCCTAAAATACATTGAAAACATTTTTAGGCTGCCCAGAGTACTTTCAGATATCTAGGAATGCATTCTAAGCTGCGCTATAAAATTTGTATCTGTTCGGTCATACTAGGGAAACTTGAGCCTTTCCGAAATTACAAAGGCTTCAAGATGCAATTTAAACGTTTTACAAAAGTGAGATTCATCTAGAAATTTTTAGCTAACTGTTAAGCTAAATATATTGACACTAAAATAAAGTCATTATTATTATTATTATTATCATTATTATTATTATTATTATTATTATTATTATTATTATTATTATTATTATTATGTCGCAGTATGAAACTTTGGAATGCTGTCCACATTATGAGTAGTATAGGACGCATAGCATAACCTGCACCACTTGAGAAACTATACTTAGAAGTAAAAAAAGGTCGGTACGAAACCCAATACGATCCTAATATACATAATGATATGAATCTTTCTACTTAAAAAGCCAATTTAGAATATTATTAAATTCTGATACTCTGTAAAACCTACCTTAAGACATGATGATATGATTATGTCTAATAGAGGCCTATTTAGAAAATTATTCAGTTTTTACACTCTCATTATCTCTTATATATCTAAACGAGGCCATCATAATGTGATTATCTCTACTAAAAGCTTATTTAGAATAATATAAAACTCTAATGTTCTAAAAAATCTAAGTAAAAACATCAGCAAGCTTGTGTTTCTAGATTTCTAGAGAAAAAACAAAAACCTAAAAACTGGAGTCCTTAGCGCCCTAACTAAGTATTTATCTTAAATGTTCTAGCAATGTTTAAAGTGTTTGAGATGACCGACTTCTGCATCCGCTCAAGTACGCTCCGTGCTCTCGCTCCAAGTAGCTTCCTCACCGACTTCTCTAAATGTTTAGAGTAAACACCCAGTACGTCAATTATTACGTTGTACTGTTCAACCCTGTAACCATTGTATCTCTGCTTCACCTCCCACATCATGGGCCGATACTTCAGTGTCTTTTCCTCATCTATCTTAGCTATACTCTCAATCCATGGGTAGCTCATTTCAATTGTGCAGACTTCTTTCCTCTCGTGGCTGACAAGTCGCGCGTCGATCCGATTTGCTTTAATTTCGTTGTGCTCTGCATAGATGAGAATATCCCAAAAAGCCTCACTCGTGGTGTTCTGGTAGGCTGGTTTTGGCATCACCGGTGAGTACCATGGTGGAACCTCTTCTATTAACCCATGCTCTGGCAGGAGCTCAAAAAACAGAATCTTCAAAGCTGCATTATGCCTGTATAGGTACTTGGTTTGTGCCAGGAAGGAACATCCCGCCAATACATGTGCAACGCTATCAGCTACCTTCCCACATAACCTGCATAGGACTTCGCCGTCGGTGGAGGTTTGCGTCTTCTCCTTTGTGTAGAGCTTCGTAGGTAACGTAACAACTGCTCATACAATTCATACATGCCCACGATGGTATATGTAGGGCATGTAGCCCAACCTTTTAACCATGCAAAGCAGCTGGTTATGCTTAGGGTCTCATCTTCCCATCTGATACGGAATAACTTTCCTTGCCACTTTTTGTCTTTAGCGATCTCCAAGAACTGCTTCTCTTGAGATTGCTTCAACAGATTCCCAGCTCTTGCTGCAGTTACCACCTTTCCTTCTGTTGTAACACACACGGGACTTAGGGTATCAAGCTGAAGTGTGATGTTGAGTTCTTCAGAGCACTTAGCTGCTTCCTTTACGAGCGACTGGTGGCCTGATGCCATGGCGTGTTCTTCAAATTCTCTAACTGCTTCCACAGTCTGGTCCCAGTTCTGATACAATTTCAGTAGCGATTTGATTTTATTGATCTTGTACTCGCGTTCGACTGATCGCAGGCCTCTACCCCCTTTCTCCCTCGGTAGATATAACAAGGAAGTTAGGCTAGCTGGGTGCTTGCCACCGTTCTCAACTATGATCTTCCGAGCTGCTCTGTCCACATCTCTTAACTCTGATAGAGGCCAGTGCTGTGTCCACATTAGGTACCGCAGGACCAGGAGTGCATACTGATTAGATGCCTGCACACGGTTACAATCAGACAGGGGGCTGGACCATATAATAGATATCCTGCGTAGATACTCTTTAGCTGCACACGCTAGGGCCAGCCGGTCACCCTGTCGAACGTTCTTTAGCACCCCCAGGAATTTGTAGTGTTTTCCTTCCCCAAGAGCGGTGATGGTAGTTGTCTCGTCCATCCTCATACCAGACTCGTCTAGCACTTGGGCTCTCCTCTTCACGTGTACCACTGAGCACTTTTTCTGATTACCGTATTATTATTATTATTATTATTATTATTATTATTATTATTAGCCGTCCTAAACCAATGGGAAATTCTAGGCCAAGTTTGCTTTCCGAACAGATATTTTGCAGAAAGCAGTCGTTGGGTGCCGCTGACTTGCGCGTTTCTCATATACACACCCTACTTGTTTGCCTCCAAAAACTTTGCATCAATTTCTCTGGAGACGGTTTTAATACTAATTGTAAATTACGAACAAATGTCTGCATTTTTCGATCTTCTTTTTAATTTATATATTTTAATCTTATCGAGGTGTATTATTGGAAATGTGCGGGTGGCGAATTTTGCTGGGGCGAAGAATACGACATGGCGAGCCGCAAGCCTTAGCGACCGAAATATGGGGGAAAATTTGTCCCCCATCTGACCAGGAAGCCATTGTTTAAATTCAGCCAAGCATAGACCGTTGACAGCTTGAAACCATACTTGAGGTGAAATGCG